CAGCACACCCGATCAAATATTTTAAAATTTTATATATAATTTTTTTATTATTATCTGAAGGCAATTTTCTGCGTTCTTTCCTATATTAAACACTTGTGTCAATAACCGGGTATCCTTTTGCACATTTTCCTTTTATCCTTTTGCACATTTTTTTTTGCATCACGTTCGATCAAATGATTTCAAAGTTTCATAGGTAACTTTTTTTTATTATTATCTGAAGGCAATTTTCTACGTTGTTTCCTATATTAAACACTTGTGTCAATAACCGGGTACCATTTTGCACATTTTCTCAGTTAAAATATTCTATCCTCTCGGTGAAAGTTTCGAATATCCGGCCAGATCGTTATTTCGCACGTTTCCTATCCATATTTGCTTCAAGCTTAGAATTCTCTTATCAGAAAGCTACTAAAATTGGACGATAAACTAAACGAGAATTATAGTTATTGACATAAGGGTTAAACTGACAATCACCCGTATTCCTTTCGCAAAAATATCATAACCGTTCGTTCGAATCCGTATTTGCTTCAAATTTACAATTTTCCTATCAGAAAATTTCTAAATTCGGATGATAAAGTAGACGACAATTCTGGTTACTGACATAAGCGTTAAATTGACTATCACCTACATTCCTTTCGCAAAAATATCACTATTATATTGGACCTGTTACGGTTAGTGTTAAAAAAAAAGAAAAAGAATTCCATCGTGTTTACCGAGCTCGTTTTCCCCGTCGAAACTTGGTTCTCCCGATCAATTATCCCACGGCGAAGTGTAGAATTAACATTCGGCCTTTGTCCATGGTTGTCAAAAATGTAATTTTTCAACGCGAACGAAAAATCTACCCAAGTATATTCTTTTAGTTGGGGATGCAATTTCCTTCTTGATTTCTCGACAGATTACGTGAAGAAATACGCGACGGAGGAGGCGTTAAGGGACCAGGAGGACGGCGGTACCGAAAACAGGGTGTCGTCCGACAGCGAGTCTTCGATGAGCGACTTCAGCGAGGACGAGGCGCAGGACATGGAGTTGTAACCAAATATTTTACCATCCGTACCCATATCCTTAATCTCGGTTCCCTGTAAACTCCGATCGCTCGTCCTACCAAATAGATGCTTACATTTCGAACCTCCGAACCTCACTATCGGTTTAGCTACGTGGCACACTCGTCACTTTGTTTCGTAGGGGAACGTTGAACCGCGACCAGGTTGTTGTTATAATTATCGGGAGGTAGACACGAAGGAAAAGTCGAAAGAAAGAAAGAAAAAGAAAACAAAAGAGGAAAGGAAACAAAAAAAAAAAAAGAAAAGAGTACGAGAAGAAGAAGAAGAAAACGAGATACGATGAATGTTTAGAGAAAAGAGAGAATGTCGCTTTTGGAGTTCTCTGTTATACACGCGGTTAGAGAGAAGAGGGGCGTCATTTCTTACCGTCGTCGTCGCGATCGTTGAAACTCGCGACGTCGACGAGAGAGAAAAGAAAAGAAAGAAAATGATATTACCGGCGCCAAAATTTTTTTCGAGAGAACGTTCTGTCTTTTATTTCACTTTTTTTTTTGTTTTCTCTCTCTTTTTTTTTCTAAAATCGAAATGTACCGTCGATCGATTGGACGTCGATTCTGTGAAATTTGTGTACAGCGTTCTGACTTTGGCACCGATCCCGATCGAACAATCGCGAATCGTCGTTCTTTGTTCACCGTTCTGTTTTGCGATTGAACACGCGCGTGCGATATAGTAACCGCGAAACGATCCGATGAATTTCCGTCGATGAAGCATATCGTTGCTACGTTTTTTATTTCTTCTGTTTTTTTTTCTCCCGTTTCGATACGATATTTAAAAAATTCTCGGTTGTTCCTCCTCGTTTCGAACGCTTTTTTTTTCTCGCCGCTCTCTTCCTCTCGATTTTTCTTCTCTTTCTTCCCTCTACTCGCCGAACCTTTCGATCGAAGTCAAGTCAGAGGAACGGCCGTACGTATCGCGGCCGTTTTTTTTAAACGACGCATCGAACACAGACACACACACGAAAGAGTCGATTTCGTTTAGCCGACAATTTCTTCTTTCTTCACGTGTATCGTAATAAATAGAACGGTCACGCTGTTACAATTCTCTGTGCGCCTCCCCAATTATTCGTAAACCGGGACAACGCACGTGCCGCGAGCGAAAAAGGACACGAGAGGGGCTCCGTCGATATCAAACGCAATCTCGAGTTTTCTTTACCATCGATTCCGAGCAAACGTTATTAGCCCTCGCGCGTTTTTTTCTTTATTTTTGTTTTCCCTTCTCGGAGAAATGTTTGCTTGTAGAGTAACGACTCTTTTGTAATTCCTGCGATAATTTATTACGAGACAATCACGTCATTTCGAGATTATATAGTGAGAAAGAAAAGAAAAAAGAGGAACAAAATGAGAAACTTTTGGAAACGTCGAAATAATCATACATGCAGGGGCGACGATGTGATGCATTGAAAAAAAAAAAAAGAGTTCTGTTTTATCACTCGATCCGACACCGACATTCGACGATATATTTTTTCTTCTTCGCTCTATCTCTCTCTCTCTCTGTCTCTCGCTGTCTTTCCCACCGCGATAAACGATTAGACGACTTTGTTTTTTTGTGTTCAAGATGAGATATCAATTGCGAGATGGAAAAGAAAGAGAAATAAGAATGCGAAATGGAAAATGGGTACTAGGTCCATCTTCCTAAATTTTCACTGTTCTCTCATATCACCATCCCTGAACGTTTCCCTCGTAGGGCGCAGCAACGAGAAAAGGCTTCGGGAACAGTGTTGAGGACACTGACAGATCTGCGGTATAAACGGCGTTTAAGTAGCGATGTTAATGTCGGAACGATCCAGCCACAATTGAAATCTGCACGGTCAACGTTTACCGACGGAGGGGAAACGATCGAAGAGACTGGTGAATTTCTAACGACCAGCACGGCCACCTGTCTCGTGGCACACGCGAACACATCGGACGTGCGAATTTTCGGGGAGTTGCGAGAAGACGACGGTGCGGCGGCGGCGTTCACACCGGAATTGCGCCAGTATTCGGAAATGGACGTAGATTTCATTCGCTCGGGAGGAAGTAGAGGCAATCTGGACACGACCGTCTAACGATCGTTGCGATCATATTTCTCCGTGGATATATTCTCTCACGATCCTTTTAATCCAACAACGGAGAGAAATAACGAAAAAAAAAAAACACGATTTAGATTAATTGTATAAAAATGATATTGTTTTTGCATTAGGGAAGTTTTCGAAGTAACGCGTGAAATGCGAGATTTTGCAAAATTTTTAGTCGAAACGAAAAAAAGAGGAGAAACAAAAAAGAAGCAACGAGAGAGTCACTTGTAAAAAAAAAAAAAATGAAAGAAAGATGCTTTTATTCGAGCGCCATGGTCGCCTCATGTTTTATTTCTGTTTGGAAAAGAGAAATGGAAAAAAAAGAAATGTGGTTTTTTTGATACGATGAGATATTTTTTTGTTTTTTAGAGATAAAACGCGCGTTCGTGCAAACCTACTTGCTACCCGGTGTCTCCACGTGCGGTGGCGGTTCTTTTTAAAACGGTGGAAAACTCGTCCGACGCGTCGGATTAAATCGAGTGCAAAAGGGAAAAGAAAATATGAAAAGATACGAAAGAAGAAGATCGAAAGAAGTATATATATGTATATACATACACGGACACGGTGAGAAAGATTGGGACAGAATTGGAGAGAAGAAGCAACGTAATTCTTTGACGATACGACGATATACATACATATATATATATATATAGAGAGATATATACATGTTTCGCGTCAATGTGAGAAAACGAATTTGTACAAATCTTGGTGCACAATAATCTTCGTTTAGTTGTAACTCGCTTCAAATTGATCTCTCTCCTTTTTGCGTGGTTTACGTGTAAATGCAATACGATCAAGCTATACGTACAAGTATAGAACATGGTATTTTAGTGCCTTCTCAGGCAGAAAATTGTGCCTTATTACATGGGTCTTCGTGAAAGGAAAAGAAACGGAAAAAAGAAAGAATCTTATTGGTAAAACGTATTCGGTGAAAACACGACGAGCATTAATTTTAAAACAAACACACACACACACACAAACAAACACGTACACACGAACTAAAATCAGTCGCTTCGAAGACTCGCGGACTAATTATAGCGTGTACTTTTATTTTTCAATATCAAAGCGAACGTTGGTGAAAAAGAAACGAGGAAAAGAAGCGGTGCAAAAGCATCGAAATAAGTTTGTCTCGCGGAACGATCGTCCTCGGGAATTTGGTAACGCGTTGTTAATCGAAAGAAAGGAAAATATGGATAAGAAGGTGCGTTAAGAGGATAAGGACAAGTTTCACCAAAAACAAAACAGAATGAAGTTTATAAGAAAATAACAGAAATTTCTCGTCTGTATTTTGCAGTAGGTTCACTCCTTAGTTTTTAACGAAATAAATTTAATATTATCGTTCTATTATTATTATTCGCATGCGGGCGCGGCTATCGTACCGTTTATACGTCGATGTAACATCTCCTCTATTTCATTTCCACGCTTTCTTTCGCGCGTGCATACGCGACCCGGAGGAGAATTCGTAATTTCATTTCTTCCGTTCGAATACGTGTCTTTAAACGTTCTTGACGGAACATCGTTTTATTCGTCACGCAAATTTCGAAACGACGAATTCTTCGGATCTTGTAAATTACGACAGTCGCGCCCGCGCTTTTTTTTTTGATTGTCACACATTCTTCTGATATTCGCGCGAAAGTGAAATAGAACACGATGTCATTCGGAATTTACAAATTATACTTCCGCGGAACATTTTCTTCGCACACGATTCCTCGCAGTGGCTCTTATCCGTTTTCGGTGAAGTGTATAGCAATGTATCTACCGATTAGATTATTAAAATGGAGTGAAACCAGTACGTCGTCTTTTTTTTTTTTTTTTGGTGTGTGTGGCTTATCAGGCATTCACCTGCCTCATTTTTCGACGTCTTTCTCGGACACTGTGACAGTTCTATTACGTGTAAATTGCTCTTACCGTTTCATCTTGTCACACGATTATTACTTTGTTTTTCTAATTGTTCTCTTTCCCCGTAACATCTTCGTCATTTATGCGACGCATCTTTGTTTCCGTTCCTCGACGTTTCAACACGCGCGGACAGAGCGATATTTGAGGAAGAAGGAAACGATTCAACAGTTGAACATTCGCCTGTCGGATTCTCGGATGCAGAAACGAGAAGACGCGGTTCGTTTGGAAAGTCCGTTTTGTAATTCCTAGCAATAATTCGTAGTAATTTCTCCTTAGTCCTTATCTGTGCTCCGTATCTCTCTCTCTCTCTCTCTCTCTCTTCGTAGAAAACGATTCGCCTTATTTTCGAGGGGGGGGGGAAAAGGACGAGAAACGCGAGCTGACGTGCAGCACGGTTTCAAAACGCGTTTCTCAAATTTTGAACATCGTTAAATTGTCTCTTCTGATCGATTATCTTCTCTCTCTTCGCGATTTCTCGCTGGGAAAGCGGGAGGCGGGCCAGAAGTTTTTGCACAGGTGAAAGAAAGGAAGAAGTGACAAACGGACGGAGTATAATTTCTGGCGTATTCTCGTTGATTACGCAAAGTGGAAAAAGAAAAGGAAAGAAACAGTCCGTATTCACAGATCTCACATTATTACTTTTATACATGTAACATAGGTTTATCGATTAATTATATGTTTATTATTGATCGTATTCGCACAACTCTATTATGTATATGGTTTTACTAACCGATTGTTTAACCGATTGAAAAGAAAAAGAAAGAAAGAAAATGAAAGGATAGTTTTAATAATCATTTTTTATTTTTTTTGCAAATGTTGTTTGTCTCTCCTTATGTTTCACTTACTTGCACACACGCTACGTACGTGCTATCGTATCCTTTATCTCGCTTTTAAGTTCGCGCAGACCACGATCCGAAATCCATTTTCTTCTTTGTTTATATGTATATACATAATGCGTCCCCTGCTAAATAATCGTACGTCCCTGTGAGAATGAGAAATATGTAAATATTAGATTCCTTCGTATTTTCACAAGAATCTCTCGTCATTCGCTAATCGTTTCGGTAATGTCGAACGGAAGAAAAGAAAGGGAGGAAGATGGGATGTATGGTACACGTGAAACTTCGAAAGAAGACACTTTGCTTCTGTATCTACGCCCGATCTCCAACCCACTTTTCCATTCGTCAAAGTTATTTCAAGATTCTCGTGCTTGCGAAGATTCCCCTGCAGCCCTGTTCGAATCTTTTTCACGTTGCGATACGTCCTTGAACAGGAAAAAGAAGAAATGCAAAGAATGCAAAGGAGTCGTTATCTACGATCGAATCACAACGTGCGTGTATATAAATAGCGATTAACATCGGTGTCAGTCGTTTCAGAGAGTAACTCGGTGTTTCTCAAACGACAGTGCAATTGAATTGGCTGTTTTCGAATCGTTGAAAGAAGGAAAAGAGAGAAACTCGTATCCGTGCGACGAGAAACGAGAGGAAAGTAAGTATGTATTTACCGTGTGTTAGCGCATGATCGTGGGACAACTCCGATAGCAAGCAGTGACGAGCGGTGCCATTCGTTGACAAAAGTGAGTGTCAATTTCGTTAATTTCCATTCTGGTCAGGAAGGAAGGCGGCGAGCAAAGCGTGTCTCGCTTCTGTCGTTCTAGCAACTTGATCGTTGAAACTTTTACAAGTATACCGTCACCTCTCGATCAAGGTTCGCAGTGTTTGGAAAAATGTTCATCGTTGAAAAGCCGCGATCCCGACGTTTCGAATGAAGAAAAACCGCGTAGAACTGGCGTCGAAACGAGAGAGACCGTTTCTTCTTTTCTGCCCGGGCGAGAATAGCTCGCGCGTACCTCTTTCAAAGATATCTTAACAAAACCGAGGATTCCAGAAAAGGGGGGAAAAAAAAAATTCGAACCAATTTTTTTAACATTTTTAAATAATACGCGCCTCCGCGAAAGAGGAGGTAACAAGAAGAAGAGAAAGCGAAAGAGAACAGAAAACGATATGAATTATTGTCACGGCTACTCTTGCTCGGTCGTTGAAAAAGAAAAGAAGAAAGGCGCGTTGTCATTGGTTCGAATTAGTTTTCGAACCGCTGCAACGCCGCGGTCCAACAAGGAAATAGCAATATTTTTGCTACTCGTTCATAATACTATATCGTCGATGTTATCTAATGTGTTAAATGACGATGCCAACGTACGCATTCGCAATAATGGTTGATTAAAGCTATACAGATCTTATCGTTATCGTGCGATCGAAGTGATCCAAGCTAGTTTTACACAAAATACCCAACAACGATGCTATTACGTTAAAAAAAAAAAAAAGGAAACAAAAAAAAGAAAGGAAGAAACGGAGAATA